GGATAGATTTTCTAATCAACGTAAACTCTCAAAATCACAATAAAAATGCTCGATGTATGAAAAATGTGCGCAATTTTTGAACTAGTATATGTTGCTATAAATTTTTCACGAATGACATTAAGTTTCGAGTTTATCCTGTACAATCCTGTGCTTTGGCTCTTTAAAAGTTTTTTCTTTTCTTTTTGTTGCGGCGCGAATTAGTCTTCGGGTTTAAATTTTACGCTATTCGAATAATGAATCAAAATGCGCCGGTAGATTATTTATGTTGTTTACTTATTTAGTTCACACTAAAGACCTTCAATAGTCGACTGGACGTGTTCCTGGGCACAATCCTAGATCGATCGCCCCTGCAACACTACCAGAGGAGAGAAGCAAGCAACAGCATCGTGCATCAGGTGGCCCAAACGAGGGCGGATGAACGATAATCAGAGGCGGCGATCCATCGTGGCCTGGGACTGTTACGTCCCAAATAAATATTTAGGATACTAAGGAATGTATTGAGGTTGAAGCAATTCAACAGCAATTAAAGGAGCGAATTAATGGGTAGGATTAAATTGCTTTCGATGAATTTGGCGGGCTGAAGTCTGTACTTCTACCGTCAACTTGATTATGCCCGCTTGCCACCAAAATTTTGGCGTGTTAGCTGGTGATGCACAAGCCACCGTGACCAATAGCGTGAAAGCTGGCGACCCACTCGCCATGAAGTCGTTAGAACGTTTGCCGCTCTTTCAGAAAGATTCAATTTCCTCGGTTTTTTACATTGCGTTCAAAAGTTTAGAAAACTTTCTATAATTGAAAAAATTTGTAGCAGAAGACATTAAACATTTTTATTTAAATTGAGTTGACTGACGGACACGTTCAGTGGAACAATGTAGTGCGGTTAAATGAGTAACACAGTTGATGATATGAGGTAAATAATTGAACACGCAACTTCCGGAAATACATTAACGGGTGTGTTACAAATTGCAACAAATCTAAATTTCTGAATAAATTGTTCTATTTTCAATTGTGGCATATTCTTCGCACACTGTGAACCTTCCTTCCATGAATAAAAAGAAAGTTTTGTATGTCGGGTTCGCGCCGTAATCCGTAAACATCTGGGGCCATACTTTCAAAACTCGCTAAGTGAACGTATAAAGTACTTACGCTCTATTTTCTCGTCAATGATTGGTGGATTTTGCTTGATAGGCCGCCAATGATTGGCTGATGAACTTACGATCTCCTAACTTTTTTTTGAAAGTATAGGCCCTGTTCAACCGACCTGTCTCAGGTGTCAAGACTCTATAAGACACCAACACCATATTCTGTTCAAGTCACTTCCTTACTTGCGAATGACATATCTGCCATGTCTATGGCTATGAATGAAGTATTCGTGACTAGCTCCGACTTTTATAACCTGGAATACAAGCATTTAATTGGTCAAATTGTCATAATCCGCGACATTGATTTTTTTCAATGTTCACAGTCTTTCCATGTAAATTAGATTAATCAATTAACGTAGAGAAGTTGATCTCTATCGGATCTGATTCGATTTACATCACGTGCTGAAAAGCCACATAATCTACTGTATATTGCCAAGTCGATATGCACGGGATTTCATTTATTTTGCGGCCAGATATACGCTGCAAGTAATGCTTTATGTGAGCTGATGACAGCATCTGAACGCGTTCCCGTATTCGAGCATCGATCAGAAGATCGCTCTATTCATTGTTCCCATTCACTCGCTCTTAAAAATCACTCGTGGTTCACATTCATTATTTGTTTCCATTAATTCATTGTTCAAATCCATTCTCATTTTTTATTCATTCATTGTTATAACAGTATTTCATCATTCAGATATATTCATTGTAATCATTCACTGTAAATGAAAATTCTATGACCCACTGAACCACGAAACATTGACTGGGTTTATTGCACCACAAAAACGAACGGCCATATATCTACATTGCACTAATTTCTGGATAAATGCAGAAAGATGGGAAATACTTTCTTGGCTTCGTCGCTGGGCAATGTGGTTCGTTTAGAGCAAATAGCGAAGCTACACTCAGAGAAATTAATTTGACTTTGTCCACATAACGATGCCCATTCTTCCCTTGTGTGGGTTTTACTGACCCAAAGTTTTCCGTAAAAAGGTGCATTCGTGCTGCGATCCGCTTGTGCCCGCTCAAGATATGGGTAGAGATGTCACTATTAGGACAGATGACCCATTGATTTCTTTGAATGTAATCAAGCCCGAACCCTGAGTGTCAAGAGAATTGTTGTCTTCATTTGAAATGCATAGGATTTTTATTGATTTGCTGATAATTTCGAAAGATCACGATAGTTGCGAAAATCCGTAAGTGTGATCAAGTCCGAACCATACGTGTCAATAGCCTAAGTTCCAACGCGGGTAGAATGGGGTATCGTCATTTGAAATTCATTGCTTCGCCATTGATTCGCCTGACTTGCCGGTAATTACGGAAGATTCTTCAGTGCTGGTTAGTGTCCAAGCTGCTTTGGTCCCTGTGAAATACAGCTTGATTTCCCTGTGAAATACAGTATCGAGGCTACAGCCGACATTGCTCTAAAAAAACCTCGTCAAAATTGAAAACTTGTCAACAAGAGGCCTTGAAGCGATCAATTTTTTTGACGAGTTGCGTGAAAATTTTAAAGGTTGTTACATATGTCATGTTTTAGTAAAAAAAACTCATCGACACGGCGTTCACACAGCCTTCTTGAATATCTCACACAGGCAAGACATTTCGAACACGTCAACCACAACAATATCACGAGCTGCTTTGGTCACTGCTGAACTTACGTTTTCGTAGCATATTTCTAGTAGCATGTGCCTAGTAGTATATGTCTAGTAGTATAAATCTCGTATTATCCATCTACTAGTATGTACATGTATACCTCAATTTGAGTTTATTTTCTTGCTGGATAAGCTTGTACTTGCTTGTTTGCTTCTTTACATTGTCCAGAATGAAGCAGATAACGCTTCAAATGCAGGCAGATAGACGGGCTCGTAGCTGTAGTTAATTCTGTCATGTGGTGTTTAAGTTATTCAAATGATAGAGGGATAGTAGAGTGATGATAAGGTGATAGTAGAGTGATGGTAGAGTGATAGTAGAGTGATAGTAGAGTGATGGTTGAATGATAGTAGAGAAATGGTAGGGAGATAGTAGAGTGATAGTTAAGTGATAGTAGAGTGAGGGTAGAGTGTTGATAGAATGACAGTAGAGTGATCGTAGAACAATAGTACATCAAATCAAAATAGAAATAAATAAATAACACATTAATGAGGGGATGTGGCAGAATTCATCAGATCTCATTTTTAAACTGTATTCTTAATTTTTTTCTAGAATATTCATGTTGATTTCATTCATATTACTCATTCATAAAACAAATTATGTAATATGTTACTGGTTATTTTAATTATTTATTCTGGTCGAACTTCCTGAAGAGGAAATCTTTAGCAAGATGAAAATTTCTGAAATATTTTTCCCGGCGATTAATGATCTATTGAATCAATATGATTAATAATTATAGCAAAATATTCACGGCGATGCAGTGATTTTTTTAACGGTCGTTAGCTTTACATTCAAGCAGTGAATTAAGATGACTTGATATAATTTGTGGTCGTTGCAATATAGGTGATGAATGAGGTCATTGCCATAGGGGTGATGGATGATGCCAATGCAATAGAGGTGATGCTTTAGGATCATAAGAATTTAAAATTTATTTAGTCTCCTTGCAATGAAGATATTCCTTCGACATTTAAAGTCAATATACTAAAGAACAACTACTTTTACCGCTCAGTGTCCTGACGACGTCGGTGCTGCGCTATGACAACTCGAGCATGGCTGTGGGGGGCGCTGTGGGGGGCGCTATGGGGGGCGCTGTGCCTGACGCTCGCGGCAGCGCCGGCACGCGGCGCCCACGCGGCTTTGATGGCGCGGTCGCTGGGTGAGTTCTTTCTTATCAATTTATTAGAGGTAAATCGCAAGATTTACTTCTAATTTAATTAGTTTTTGCTAGATTACTACTCATTACCCATGTGTGGGTCATCTTGACCCACTTTGACCAGGAAAGAAGAGCGTGTCAGTGCAACATCCGCTCTTGGTAAATTTGTGTTATGTTTGGAGAATATGATCCATTTATTTTTTTGAAAGCGGCGTGGCATCAATAATCGGCAATATATACGGGCTCTCGGATGAATTTATTTCCGCATACCAGTAGTATATTATGGTGGAAATTATTTAGGATTATAATATTGCTTCATTGAGTAAATCAAAGCGAATGAAAAGGCATTTCATCTCTTTATTTTATCTATTTTATAATCGAAATAGCACTATATATAATGAAAGCATGATGTTAAAGTGCAACGAAAATAATGTTCAGAACTTTTAGTCGACTAAACTTTAATTTTAAATGTTATGTGTCATTGGCAGCCAGAAATTAAAATTTAGTTCCAAAGTTTCACGATAAAAACGACAGCGCTTGCAACAAGCCAACATGTGATGGTCATGTTCTTCTTCATGGTAAATATTCCTTAGCTCGAGATAAACCTACTTTTTTGTTTTTAGCTGACATTTAATCATCAGCTGTTCCCTGGGTTTGTAAGTCTTTATTTTAAGCACAAACTTTACTAATCTTTTTTATTAATATTACGTACAAATGATTTATACTTAAAGATATTCGATACGGGCATAGATTACAGCATTTATATTCACCAAGAATTTAACACGTATTTCTACAGGGACCTTTTTTTCTAGCGACTAATTCTACGGTTCTCCGTGGAAACGGGTTCCCCTAGTTTCCTCTGGAAATAACTGCTACAAAAATTATTAACAGCAACGAGAGCATCAAATAAATTCATCAAATCTTGACTTTTTGCTTCCCTCGCTTGCCCGACGGCAACATGCTTCACGAGTATTTGAGTTACACGTCAGCATTATGCTGCTCTCATCATGTTGCCATCATCATGTTCTCATCATGTTGCCATCATAATATTGGGTGACGTCACGCGCTGCCTCGGCTTCAGCTACGCAGGTGACGTATATTGGGTGACGTCACGCGCTGCCTCGGCTTCAGCTACGCAGGTTTATATTTAAAAAAATTTATTTCTTCAGTATCAGGCTTGAAAAAAATTTGAATTGAATAAAATGTGCGATCATGAATTTTCCAAGATCCAAGATAGACTGCAGTTTGTTCTTACCCTTATTGGAGGTAGCAACAGAGTTGAAGGGGGTGTTAATTTATGGAGACAATGTTGATAAACCATACTTGGTTTGGTTGCTGGTGGTGCGTGCAAGCTGATGAGCTTGACTTGGTTACAGGCGGTGTGTGCCAGCTGATGAGCAACATCACAACCATCGTGGCGGCGTCTGGTTGGGTCTCCTACGCTGTCACTCAACCATTTAACCCAAGTCTTCTGGTGAGCAAATACCCTATATATCGCAGTTTAGATGCGAGCCCGACTCTGCAATAGGGGCCGCCTAGGACTCGGGGAGCGCGTGAATCAGCCGCTCCATGTCCGCTTCGACAACGGGTTTGGAGGACAGCCTTTGGGCGGCTCGCCAGCGATCGGCATGACTAGATTCGGCCAATTATTCTCATAATCTCAGGACGCACTTGTCATACTCTCAGAATGTTTTTGTCATGCTCTCAGTATACACTTGTCATACTCCCGGGACACACTTGTCATACTCTCAGGCGACTACAAAGCTGGAAAGGTGGTTATGAATGACCAGAAACTGATTTCGATCGGGTGGGCAAAATTACCAGAATAACTTTGTGCTGAGTGTAGAGACTCTTGGGGAAAAATCTATGTGGTACCCGAATTTTTCGACTATTACGGTAGAAGCCATGCTTATATAAAATGTAAATAGGACGTCTGCCGGCCAACTGCTAGGCGGAGCTCAATGCTACGTTGGTAGCCGCTGTCGGTAATTGGCAAATGCCGTAAAATCTATAACAGTAACTCCATCAGCACAGCCAATCACTGTACTTTGGCCGCGGCGTATATTTATATCGCAAGGTGTACTCTTGAATGTACGGCATTTAAAGTATAAGTTGACGTCGCAGGTCTTCACAGCTTCATATGTACTCTATATATAACTGTTATGTACTGCGCAATCGGCTTGTGGCAATTGTTCACCAGTGTTATCCGGCAAAACATTATGCGTGGTTCGTACTGTTTTTTTCTCTGCATGGTGTCAAAACTCGGTGACTAGCAGTGCCAAATATTTTGTTATACATACTATAAATAAAATACTTCTACTATATTCCACAAAAAAGTATATAAAATAATTATATGCAACAGGATCCTTGTGCCAGTATCCCGTGTCCAGCCAACAAAGTGTGCGTGCGTTACTCTCCTCCAGCCATGTTGCCGTACCAGCCCCAGGCCACACTCAACTACTCGATGCCAGGCTACGTCTGCTCCAACGCCTCGGCATTCCTCAACCAGCGCAACCAAGGCAAAAGTTAGTTAAGCAATACGCTCGGATTTACGGAAAACTAGCTTGGTTGAAAATTTACTGGGTGACTGCAAGAATATAGGAGCAAAAAAACTTAGTGTCCCCGTCAAGAGAATCTGTATTGGTTTTTATTTTAGATTAAACGCACGCAAATAATGTCATTAATAAATAACACCCACAGCGACATTAACAAACTTAAATTTAACTATTTGCTCTGTAAAATTTGCAGTTTTTACATTACATATCTCATCGCTGCTTGGATAATAAAATTAAGGGGAGCGTCTTGGTCAGAAAAAAAAACTTTTTTATTTACTGAAAAATCTTTGTGAAACTTCGTACACATTCGTAAGAAAATTTTGCTTATGTGAATTTTACGAAAAATGAAAGCAAATTTGAAATGCTTATAACGACAAAAATGGGGCTCCTTTATAAATTTATCCCCTTCTTCAGTTTATGAGCTTCAACATCGAGAGACATGTAATTCAATTAGTAAAAAGCATATCTATGAGTGATCTATCGACTCTATAGAAGCCATTTTTCGCTTTTACTTTATTATATTATATGATTTTTTTCGATTTTCCCCCTCCCTCCTAATTTTTTTAAATATATAAACAATGTATAACCATATAAATATAAAATAAATAGGTATTTACATATATAAATATAAATCGATGACCAGAGAATTCGTTGATTTATATTATCAGTGTGTGGAACTTTTCTTCAGATGACGGTAGATTAAAAGGCAATTTCCAGGAAGTAATTCTTATTTGTTAACGACGTTTCGAATGCAACAAACATTCATTTCCAAGTTAGAAGAAGCATTATACATTGAAATTTTGGTGGAAATAAGTACATAATATAAGTAAATAGGATACGACAGTAAATTTTTGGACCAAAAATTACTCGGAAATTCTTTCAGAGTTCAGCCAAATCCGGTAGTCAGAAAATAGATAGCTGGAGTCTAATCTGTAGAGATGAGGGGTTGAGCTGTCGCCGGTCGGTTGTTGTCGGGCCACTGCTTGATCACGATGCTGGTGAGTACCTTCAGCACAATGCGAGTGACGGTCTGGTTGTAAGCTTGTCTCGCGTGGTTCACCTGCCCTCCAGTTTGAAGGTAGCTAACGAGACAGCGGCTCAGTTTCTTGATTGTTAGTCCAATTTGTCCGATGTTGTCTAAAACATGAAGAAGTCTACAACTTTCTTTGAAGCAAAAGTTATAGACTACACGGGTATTTCGGATAACTCCCGCGTTTTTGCAGGGGCATTTGTTGCGTTTAGTTTGGAATTTGATATTGTTGTCTAGAGTGTCACAAAGCCTGTTGAATTCATCGTCGATTTTAAGATGAACTTGCTTGTTAATAATGCTTTGAGAATATACTGAGCAATGGCCATTGCATAGAAGTGGGTGTGCGAGAACCATTAACTCGGCGGATTAGCGTCGTCTAGACCTATCGCATTTTAGGAATTCATTCACCTTGCAGCCGTCTTAGACAGATCAACTATCATCTTGTCAGTAGTCTCGCAATTTTGTTCCGTTGATCAGCCCTTGAAAACCAACGTAAGTTAAGTTTAGTTGCTAAACCTTTTGAATCATGTACCTATTGTTCAGTATTTTCATGTACGTTTAGATTTGCTTTATGTTCTTGATTAGTCTTTGTCATAATTTTCATTGAGCCAGTCTATTGTTTTCGTTATTGTATTTTGTTCTCTTGCTCTCTGGGCAGGTCCACGGATTTAAGTAAATTCCACCAGCTACAAACGCTGAACGTTTTTTACCCCAAGCCAAAGTGGCGTTTACAATGCCTCGGCATTGACAGTGGGAGTTCTGCGAGAGACTGTTGTAATCTGTAAATTTTGCCCCAAAGAAGGTTGCAGAACTCTTCATTATTTGGATTGCATTCGGGTGATTGCAGTAGCAACTACGACATTAGACAGCCGTTTCTCCTGCCACCAGAGACAAGCTCAAAACCAGACAAGGTCTCAAAGTATTACAATCGAGCAGCATCATCTCAAAAACGTCGATGAATTCAACTGCCTCCGTGACACCCTTGGCAACAAAGTCAAACCCCGTACTGTACCGAACAACGGCTCCTGCAAAAAAGCGGGAGTTCTCCAAGCGGCCGGTGTATTCTATAAATTTTACTTCAAAGAAGGTTGTAGACTTCTTAACGTTATGGATTACATTGGAGTTATTGGAGTGACAACTGCGACATTGAACTGCCGTTTCTCCTACCACCAGAGACAAGCTCACTACCGTACCAGGTCTCAGAGCATTATTAACAAGCAAATTCATCTTAAAATCGACGATGAATTCAACAGGCTTTGTGACACTCTTGACAACAATTATATTGTGCCTGGGTGTGGCCAGCGGCGAGCGGCGAGAAGCTATGGCCAGCGTCGAGAAGCAAGCAACAGCCTCGTGCATCAGGTGGCCCAAAAACGTAATAAAGGCACCTGCAAAAACGCGGGAGTTATCCGAAATACCGATGTAGTCTATAACTTTTGCTTCAAAGAAGGTTGTAGACTTCTTCATGTTTTAGACAACATCGGACAAATTGGACTAACAATCAAGACACTGAACCGCTGTCTCGTTAGCTACCTTCAAACTGGAGGGCAGGTGAACCACGCGAGACAAGCTTACAACCAGACCGTCACTCGCATTGTGCTGAAGGTACTCACCAGCATCGTGATCAAGCTGTGGCCCGACAACAACCGACCGGCGACAGCTCAACCCCTCATCTCTGCAGATTGGACTCCAGCTATCTATTTCCTGACCACCGGATTTGTCTGAACTCTGAAAGAATTTTCCGTGTAATTTTTGGTCCAAAATTTTACTGTCGTATCCTATTTACTTATATTATGTACTTATTTCCGCCAAAATTTCAATGTATAATGCTTTTTCTAACTTGAAAATGACTGTTTGTTGCATTCGAAACGTCGTTAACAAATAAGAATTACTTCCTGAAACTTGCCTTTTTATCTACCGTCATCTGAAGAAAAGTTCCACTCCCTGATAATATAAATCAACGAATTCTCTGGTCATCGATCGCACGTGTATAAACAAGTAAATCCTGCCATCTAATATTAATAAATATAAATCATGTACAAATCAGAAAAAAACTTCTAATATCCTTAGATATTGTTCCTACGAATTGTATGATATATTTCTCAATGCTGTAGCTTTCAAATCATTGGAAGAGAAAGATTTTTAAGACGGCGTATTTTAGAAATTTAAATTGTTCAGGAGAGCAAAATAAATAAAATTGTGAACAAATAAAAAAGTTCTAAAATTTTATTGATACTGTGGCTCCCGCTTTCCAGTGTCAGTTATTCATATTGAGGATACCATAAAGGTTCCGTAGACTTACTCATGTCCAGTTTTACGCGAATAATAAGCTAGAAAAGTGATTTTTCTGATACATTTTTATATTAAATGGTCATTCTATATAAGTTTATGTATTTACGCTAACTTTTTGCTTATGTATTTACAATTTTTTTAGCTCATTTACAATTTTCTCAGCTCAACAATATTCATTGTTGAGCTGAGATAATGCAGAATTTCATACAAGATGTTTGTATTGTCGTGTACCAGGCTGCAAGTTTGTCATCTACTACAACATGGACTTGAAATGGCACGACCTGGCTATTGAGTACCTGCCCATCTCAGAGGCCTTCAGCCGCTGCTCTGACTACAACTGCTTGGCGATGGTGGCTGTCTTCTATGGTGAGCTTCTGCACATAAACGCTGTCTTCTCTGATGAGCTATATATACTGCACATAAACGCTGTCTTCTATGGTGAGCTTCTGCACATAAACGCTGTCTTCTCTGATGAGCTATATATACCGCACATAAACGCTGTCTTCTCTGATGAGCTATATATACTGCACATAAACGCTGTCTTCTCTGATGAGCTATATATACTGCACATAAACGCTGTCTTCTCTGATGAGCTATATATACTGCACATAAACGCTGTCTTCTCTGGTGTGCTTCTGCACATAAACGCTGTCTTCTCTGGTGAGCTTCTGCACATAAACGCTGTCTTCTCTGGTAATCTTCTGCACATAAACGCTGTCTTCTCTGGTGAGCTTCTGCACATAAACGCTGTCTTATCTAAATTCAAAATTCATGGCAAGGTTTTGTACTGATGCCTAAATTAGCAATTATTACCCAAATAAATACGATTTAATTTACAACTCATGTTGTAAAAAATGACGAATAGAACGAATAAAAATATTCTTCTATTGAAGTCTTTTAAAATTTCTAGCCGTTCGTATACGATCCACGGATCATCAGTAATGCTGCTTCAACAATCGAAAAATAACAGACTATTTATACCACGTAAAAATATATCAGTCGAGATCTGCGCCAAATTTCACACTGCATTGTAACAGAGGGGTAAAAATTTTGATTTTGGGAAGTCCTTCCATGAAATTATTCAGAGTTCCATAGAAACAGCACTATGCAGATTGTTCCGATTATTTTTTCTGTCATGGTGAGCTTGAACACTTGAATTATGCTGGAAATTTGTTGTCTTATATTTTATGATTACTTATTTAATGCATTGTACGTCTGTCCAGGTGTCAGGGAGCCAGTTGTTTGCACTGTACGTCTGTCTAGGTCTCCTGAAGGCAGTTGTTTGCACTGTACATCTTTCTAGGTGTCTTGAAGGCAGTTATTTGCTCTTTACTTCAGCCTAGGTGCCATGGAGGCAGTTATTTGCACTGGACGTCAGTCAAGGTGCCATGGAAGCACTTATTTGCACTGTACGTCAGTCAAGGTGTTGTGTTCCAGCTAGCGGACCACCAAAGATAATCTTCAAGTCCGCGGCTCCACTGGTAGGAACTGGGGGCAGCCCCAACGCCGGACCTGTGGTCAGCTGGTTCCCGGAGTGTGCCTGAACCATCGACCCTCACTGAACCATCATCAC